CACCACCACCACCAGCACCACCAGCACCAGCACCACCAGCACCACCACCACCACCACCACCACCACCAGCAGCAGTGACAGCAAGGGTACCTTCTGATTCTTCAAAACTTTTTTTAATCCTTGTTGTTGTTATTGCTTTTAGATTTATTCATGTGTGTTTTGCCGACATGTATGTACATGCACCCACCCTATTCATGCCTGGAGCTTCCAGAGGCCAGAGGAGGGTGTGGGAGCCTCTGGAACTGGAGTTAGAGAAGTTGTTAACTGCCGTGTGAGTGCTGAGAATCAAACCTGGGTCCTCTGTAAGAATAAGTGTTCTCAACTGCTGAGCCATCTCTCCAGTCCCCCTGTTTCCATCTCTTGCAGAGATGATAAGAGACTTCTTTGACTCCTCACTGTCGGGCATGATTCCCTTTCCAGCTAACCAGAGCCTGGCCTCGGCTATACAGCCTCAGATGTCACACAGCTCTAAGACTGTCTCATTTCCTTGAAATACAGCCTGAGTCTTGACTCACACTATCAACTAAGAAGATTCCATAGCAACTGGACTCAAGACAAGTCTAAATCTGTGGTTTTTCAACCTGCGAATTGTGACCCCCGTGGGGAAGGGGGGAGTCACATACCACATATTTAAATTATAATATGATTCATTAACAGTAGCAAGATACAGTTATGAAGTAGCAATGAAAATAATTTTATGGTGGTGGTGGGGGGGGGGTCCCCACAACACAAGGAACTGTATTAAAGGGTCACAGCATTAGGAAGGTTTCAAGAACCACTGGTCTAAATGTTAAGTGAAGATTAGTGAATGATCAAATTCTGTGTTTGGGATGTAAGCTCTGTGGCCCATTTCTGGTGCTTTTCCAAAGGACCCAGGTTCAATTTCTAGCACGCATATGACAGCTCACAACTGTCTATAACTCCAGCACCAGGCAAGGGATCTGGTGCCCTCTTCCAGACTTCCTGGGCATTGCACACACATGGTGCACAGACATACATGCAGACAAGACATCCATCACATAAAAATTATAAAAATAAAGGGAGAAAAGTCTTGCGGAAGGAGCCAATTCATATAAAAAGTATTTAATATAAAGAACATTAAAGCACAAAAATGCTGATGACATACGACATATGATATTACTCAAATTTCCCTTTACCTGACAAGAATTATTTGAACAAAGACTGCTAAGCCTCGCCTTAGTCACCGTTCTTAAACAAACTTTCCAGATCACCCAACATAGAGAAGACAAGAAACTAAGTGAAACCAAACAAATGAAAGACCGTGTTCTTAAAAATAAATAGCCAATGTGAAGTTTTCAGATTTCAAAATAGCACCATTGGAAAGGAAGGAGATGTTGTTTCTGTTTAAAGTACCTGAGCAGGTGATATGCCAAAATTCATGCACTATAAGCTTAGGTTGATTTTTATTGTTGTTTGGCATGGTTTTTGAAACAGGGTTCCACATAGACTAGGCTAGCCTCAAACTCACTATGTAGCCAAGGCTGGCCCTGAACCCCTAATCCTCCTGCTTCCACCTCTCTAGTGCTGGGATTACAGGTGTTTGCCAGGACATCTGGCTGTGTGGTTGATTTTTAAATCTTCGTTGCAATCTGGAGTGGGAAATTAAAAGAGAATTTTTGTTGTTGTTGTTGTTTGAAGTACAACTTTAACTAAAGAGTCAAAAGACACCTGATGGATAGCAGATGCACACACGGACCAGCCAGAGTGTGTTCCTTGATTTCCGCCATGTCTATCACCAGTCGGGGACCTCGACCACGAAAGGCGTTTTCACATCTATCTTGCCACTGTTGACGATGGTGCAGTCGGTAAGTGGGCGGTCATGGTCATCCGTGGCTTGAAGTTCTATGGAGTGTACCACAGTCTGGCAAGAGAAAAACAGGAGACCTGTGGCTCACTGGGGGTTGGTAGCTATGACGGTTCACAGGAATAACCAGTCCAATTCCAGAAGTACAAATGGGAAATGTTTGCTGTTATTACTCTTTTGAGACAGGGTCTCGACTATCAGGCTGGCCTAGGACTTGCTATGCAGCTGAGGGTGACCTTGATCTTTTGATAGTCCTGCTTCCACCTCCCACGTGCTGGGATGGCAGATGTGCACCACCACCACCACAGGTTTAAGTGGTGCAGAGGACCAAACTCAGCACTTCCTATCTGATCAGTAAGCATCTACCAAGTGAGCCACATCCCCAGCCCTGGGACATACGGTTCATCATTTAAAACCATGCAAGCTGAGGAGCGCTGCTTTGCAAATAACTCCAGCATTCTCCTTATCTGCTACTGTCAGTCTTCAAAACAATGCCATTGGGAGTGGAGCACCTAGGAGATTATCCTGGGATTTTACATACACATGCAATAATATATACATATACATATATATATACATATATATGGTGTGCATGTAATAAATATGTGTATGTGTGTAAGATATGTGTGTATTATATGTATATATGTGTGTTATTATATGTACACACACACACACACACACACACACACACACACACACGCTCTATCAGTCCACTCAGAGAGAATAAAGGTACTTGTTTCTCAGAAACTCAGATAACATATATTTCCCTATTTCTTTAATAATAAACACATGTTACATTTGAAAAAGTCTTAGCTAGCCTTGTAAATCATAGCTCTAATAAAAGGTATTTCAATTGAACTGCTACAACCCATTGTAATTATTAGCATGGTATTGGGTTGGTTTCGGCTCTTCCCTTATCCTAGTCTAGACATGCAATGCAGACCAAAAAGCATGTGTAAAGTAGCCAGCCTCTGACTTGACTTATTTGGAGATGACTTAAGCCATTTGTCTAGCGGTTGATCTGTCATGGATGTAATTCAATCCCAAGTAGTAGGGGCCCTGGAGGGCCTCTCAAGCCCGTGAACCTAAGGGTCACAGTGAAAGAGGGAGCGTGCTGTGACCAAGAAAGTCATTTCTGATGAGTTCTCCAGGGTGCGGCTCAGTTTCTGGCCTTTGGTTGGGGGACGGGGATCAGGACAGCAGTAGAAATAGGTGAGAGAACCACAGCTAGTGAGGTGCTGTGTAAACTCAGATGACCCAGAGCAACTCACATGCAAATGAGACCCAGGGACACAAAACGAAGGGGATGGGAAGCCAGGGTCGCTGAGCTGCTTTATGTTTCAACTGGACACAAACTAGTCTCCTGGGAAAGGGAACCTCCACTGAGGAACTGCCTCCATCTGTGGGCATTGTCTGTGGGACATTTTCTTTGTAGATGATGGATGTGGAAGGGTCCAGCCCATATAAGCAGGTGATTTTGGATGATATAAGAAAGCAGGCTGAGCAAACCATGGAGAGGAGGCCAGTAAGTAGCATTTCTCCATGACCTCTACTTCAGTTCCCTGGATGATGGATTCTAATTTGAAAGTCTGATAAATCCTGTGTTGGCTAATTTTATGTCAACTTGACACAAGCTAGAGTCACAGAAGGGGAGAGAGCTTCAGTTGAGAAATGCCTCCATAAGATCTGACTGTGGGGCATTTTCTTAACTGGTGATTGATGGGGAGGTCCCAGCCCATTGTGGATGGTACTATTCCTGGGTTGATGTTCCTGGGTTCTGTAAGAAAGCAGGCTGAGCAAGCCATGGGGAGCAAGTCAGTGCCCCTCCATGGCTTCTGCATCAACTCCTGCCTCCAGGTTCCTGCCCTGTTTGAGTTCCTGTCCTGACTTCCTTCAGTGATGAACAGTGACTTGAAAGTGTAAGCCAAATAAACCCTTTCCTCCCCAGTCTGCTTTGGGTCATGGTGTGTCAACAATATAAACCCTAACTAAGACAAATCCTTTACTTTTCAAATGACTTTGGTCAGTGTTTTATCATAGCAATAGGAAAGCTAACCAGGATACCTGGACACTTGGCAGAGGCTGAGAGAGATGTTCTGGGAAGCTACAGGACAAATCCTGAGAGTTGAGAAGAATGAGTATTTTCAGAAAGGAGTTATGAGTTGGATCTCTTTGTTACTTTTCAGTGAATAACTAGCAATGTAGAATTTACAAAATTCACAAGGTACCTCCCCAAAGTTATATAAGGAATAACTTGTAGGTAAAAGGGTCTCTTAAGACAGCTAAGTTGCTAGGAAGTCATTCATAGAGCTTTAAGGTTGTAGCTTTTTGAATAGCTGTCCATGCTGGGATAACTAGCAATGTAGTTTTTCATTGTATTTTCAAAGTATATGTGAATAGATAGATTGACAGAAAGACAGACTAACAGACAAACAGATCGATCATGTGTGTGTGTGTGTGCATTATAGCATGCATTTAAATGTCCTTTTTAATACCAAATAATATTTCATTGAATGCATATTCAGTCCCTAGTTTGATTATATTTCTTAAATTAACTTAAGTACCTAACTTCTTCAATGTCTGTTTTGATGCCTCTAGCAATTAAAATACCATGCCATATGTAATTTATTCACCTTCAAAAACTCAAGTCACAGCTGGGCAGTGGTGGCACACGCCTTTAATCCCAGTACTCAGGAGGCAGAGGCAAGTGAATATCTGTGAGTTCAAGGCCAGCCTGGTCTACAGAGTGAATTCCAGGACAGCCAAGGCTACACAGAGAAACCCTGTCCTGAAAAACAAACCCAAAAAACCCAAAAACCCAACAAAAACAAAAAACTCTAGACACCATACAAAGGCTATCTAATAACGCATTTGAATATTCAATGACTTACTGAAGGTCTCCTCATAAGCATAAAGCTTTATAAGAGTGGAGAAAGATATATCAAATTACCATCCCATCCAGGACTTTTCCAAATACGACATGTTTGCCATCCAACCAGGTGGGCTTGGTCAAGGTGATGAAGAACTGGGAGCCATTGGTGTCGGGGCCAGCGTTGGCCATGCTGACCCACCCAATGCCATAGTGCTTGAGTTTGAAGTTCTCATCAGGAAATGTCTCACCATAAATGCTTATACCTGGGTAAGGCCAAAGAAGGAGGGACAAAAGCAAATGTTAAAAGCGAACTCTTCAGAGAAACTGAAGCCTGTCATGTAATCAGTTAATAGTTTCCCACAGGTGACAGGAATGAGGCTAGGCAAACGTAAGCAGTGAAAGGGTAGGTCAAGCTAACTCATTAAGGAAATAGGCACCAGGGTCTAAACTGAACAGAAGAAGGACCTTACTATGGCACAAGATGAAAGTACCCATGGCCTCAAGCCAAAATTTGACCAAATAAATCAGTGATTTCATTTTGAAGGGAAGATGGCATCTGAAAGCAGGGTAGAAAGGTGTCTGAGGCACTCTTGGGGCCCTGTCTCTGTTGTATGCTCAGATGACTTGTTCTAGGTCCGTCTCATCTCAGCACCCATCCAGCTAACCAAGCACTGAGTGTATACATTGGTTTAACCCCACAACAAACCCATGGAACAGGCCTTCTCGGTCCTGGTTTTCGCTGGGAACGAGTTACAAAACTGGCCAATAGCAGAGCAGGACTGCAGCATCTGGTTCCCTGACTCTATGCCTACTGCTTTTTCTTATCTCAGCACCAAGAGCAGTAGCAGCTAGTCTGTAACTGACAGGTGTGACCTGAGAGCCCATGGGACACAGAGGATGATGGAGACTAGGAACATCCACGCCCTGGAGCTCCGGCAAAGCAGCAGCCACGACGAGAACCCTTTCCCCACAGCATCAGTGTGGACTGTGAGGGCCACCCTCCCCATGTTTCAGCCCTTCAGGGGCCTGTCCTGCCTACCTCTCCTTCTGACAGTCTGTTTGCCCAGGAATTGCCAACCGAAAATCCTGGCTCAGTTAGAAGTACCAGAAGTGGAATCAAAGCCAAGAATTTTAAAGCTGACTGTCTAGGACATAGGAGATGGCCTGGTGGATAGCTCTGCCCACAGAGAGGTCGAGGCGAAATGGTCCAAAATTTACTCTCTTCCAAACTCAGAAAATGTTAACCTAAGATCTCTTCCTCCGCCCGCCACACACATATACACACTGAGCAGGGAAGGCAAAGAAGAGAATCAAAACAGGAAAAGAGGTCAAAGTAAAGTTGCCGCTGTTTCTGCCGGACTCTGGTAAGAAGGCAGGAGCAGGGTGAGGATGCAAATGCTACAGCCAGCTGCACAGTTGCCTGGGAGCAGCTGTTGCGGCAGCCGGGTTGCTCCTATGCATGGTTCTCAGCAAATCTCATCCCCAAGGAACCTGAGTGCCTCTCTCTTCTCCACCCTGCACTTCACACCTGTACCCACTATGGTAAGATTTTTTTTTCTTGTTTTGTGGTGCTGGGGGTTGATTGAACGCAAGGCCTCATGCATGCCAGGCAAGTGCTCTACCACTGAGCTACAGCCCTTGCCTTTTGTATTTTTACAAGAACTAAAACTCAATCTTCAGAATGTGTATGGCAAATGGAAGGGTCAAATGGCAACAAAAAATAAATAAATAAGCCATTGCAACAAATGCAATGTCAAAATAATATCTGAAAATAGCCTAGGGGCTTCTTTAAAAAGTTAGCCATGACAGCTACCAAAACCAGCATTTAACTCTGAAGTAGATTTAAGTTCTGTCTAGATGCTTGGATGGTATGTGCTCTGAAAAAGTATGCTCGCTGGAGAGAAAACACTCCTGGAATTGGGCAATTATGACCCTCGGAGAGATAACACAGGGTAGTTTGAAACTAGAAATCTAAGTGTATCTTCTATTGAGCTTTGCTTATAAAACTTAGTTTGTATTACATTTGTTGATGGACTTAAACATTTTTTTATTCCTAAAAGGGCCAACCACAAAAGAAAGCAGTTTTGGCAGAAGAGGCAAAAATTGACCATCATCTGCCACCAACATGCCAGCGGTGTTCTTCTGGCCCCTTCCCCTCCACACCCACACTGCCTGCTGGCTGCCACACCAGCATAGGCACACCTTTGTTTTAGTTTCCCTTTCCATGGCAAACATTTTTCTGTCTTCTACATACCGAGCAAGATCTGATTGGTGCCTGCAAAATATCCTGCCAAATGACTGTCGCCATCCTGTGTAAAGGCCACAAAGGATCAAGGAATCCTGCTTAACCTCAGGAGCACCTCACTTGTTCAGATCTGCCAGGATTCTGGCGCTAGGCCTCTACAGCTCCATCCTTCTTAAAGAACTGGAGTGGGATCTGGGCGGTGGTGGCGCACGCCTTTAATCCCGGCACTTGGCAGGCAGAAGCAGGCAGGTCTCCGAGGCCAGCCAGCCTGGTCTACAGAGTGAGTTCCAGGGCATCCAGGGCTACACAGAGACCCAATATCAAAAAACAAACAAGCAAGTAAACGCAGAACTGGAGTGAGCTTTATGGTTTTGCCCCACAATTGTGAGGCCCTGTTGCTTAGGTTTCAGCTTGGCAGATGGGAAAGGAGAAAGGCAAGGACAGTGTTACCTCCGGTGCCATCCCTCGCGGTGAAGTCCCCTCCTTGAATCATGAAGTCCTTGATGACACGATGGAAGATGCTTCCTTTATACCCGTAGCCTTTCTAAAGAGATGATTTCAATTGAATGCACAAGTAGAAATAACCCTCATTGAAAGGTGAACCGTGTTTATCCCGAAAATGAGAACATTTGAACATCTACAGAACTTGACTACGTTCTAGCCATTCTATACCAGGGAAAGTTTACCATTAACTGGCCAAAATAACGGAAATACAGGAATCAAGTATTAATGGGAATAAGTAGAAAAAGAACACTCTGCATTTTCACTGGATGTTTTTCCTCTCAATTTCTCAAAGTCTAAGGACACTGAGTAACTGAGTAATTTTAAGAAAACAGTTTTTAAGAAAAAAGTAAATTTAAGAAACAGAAAAGTCTAAGGTGTCACACACTCATCTGATATGTCAATTGCCATTTTTTTTTCCAGAAGACATCTTTGGATCTTGTTTTAAGGAAGATCCACACTTGTACTCAGTTAAAGCCAATGAGGCTGGGACAGACCTCTCCTGTTGCCAGAGCCACGAAGTTTTCCACCGTCTTGGGTACCACTTTTCCAAAGAGGCCAATCACAATTCTACCCACATCTTTGTCTCCAATCTTCACATCAAAGAAGACCTGCGGGTAATTGAGATGCAGAGTAGAAGGTCACCACATGAAAAAGACAGAAATCTGAGCTAAGTCAAAATTAAATCTGAAAATTGGTCCCCATAGGAAAGCCTGCCCATCAGTGTTTTATGAGAGTCCAGAAGCATGAGGCTAGTTAGAAGTGCTGACGTAACACTGTGTGGGAACAGTTCATTCCCAAATATCCACTCAACAAACATTAAGCACCACATACGGGTCAAGCATGTACTAGGTACTGAGAAAGCGTGATTTGGTATGGCCAGAGTCAGCTTGTAAAGTCTTCAATATAACCCCAACCCCTCGAGCCCTAGAAAACCACAGCTCTGCTTCTCCCCGTTCCCTGCTTTGTGGATGAAGATGAGAACAGAGACTATTGCTCTTCTCTCTGCTCCTGGCAGGAAGAAATATAAAATGGTGAGTGCTGAAGGCTACCTATCCATTTTTTTTTTTTTTTTTTTTTTTTTTTTTTTGTCATTTCAAACACTCGTGATGAGTTCTTGGTAGACATCCGCAGTCAAGGGACCGGCCAGAGATGACGAAACACAATATCAGTCCTTGGGCAGGCTTGCCACTCACATGCCGGGGCAGTAAGACACCAGGTCCCCAGCAGGACAGCTAACCGCTAACCGGTGTGTGGCTGCCCCCAAAGCTACCGTCCTGTAAACTTCAACCCTGGGTTCAGGTGTCTACTTCTCATGGTCACCCAAGTAGAATTTGTTCTTTCTCTGTCATCTTGGAACAAAAGAAAGATAACACAGCTAGAAATACAAGCCACATTTTTTTTTTCTTCAGATTAAACCTTAAAAGTTCTCTTGGAGTTTCTTTTTTAAAAACTGTTTCACCTGGAATGAAATTATACGCGTTTCGCTTCACCAATCACTATGTTCGGATGATTTGGAGACGGGAGGCTTGAAAAGGCCATGGAGTCAAAGGGCATTCCATTAGCAAGTTTAGATGATACGAACCAATTTACTGTTTGAATGGGTAAAAAAAGACATTCAAGGGATGGCTTTAAAAAATATAAGAAGGGTTGTCAAGGAAAAAAGATGCCTTGCAAATCTAGAAAAATCACTAGGTAAAGACTGTCAAACTCAGCTCAAGGCAAGGACTTCTGCCAATATATCAGAACGCCTGTCACAGGCTGATGTGATATTTAGTGCTTTGTGTGGCATTTACATGTCCACGTGGCCAAAGCAGACACTGTTTTATTATCATTTCTATACAAGAGCTTTACTGAAAGCATTGAAGACTCAGCTCCTCTTCGTGTGAGGTATGACAGGAAACGACAGCCACCCGCGTGGCTTTGGGGACAAAAGGCTGCTTCAGCAGGAGTGAGTCAGGCAGTGAGAAGTGGCTTCTCCAAGGGGTTTCCATGCCCGGGTGAGAAAGAAATGTGGGCAGGAACAGAACAGCTCTGCCAGAGAACCAGGGCTGTAATTTTAAAGAGACAACCAGAAGGATACTTGCAAAGCCTTCCGACTCTTAAACTAAAGGAGTAAATTCTTAGAAAGCAACAAAGTAGGCAGCAGCAGCAGATGGAGAAAACGAACCTGCTACCCAACAGCACCCGCAGTGAAAATCCCATTTTCACACACAGCCCAGCTCACATAGCTCTGAAATTTTTTTCCTCCCAGTTGCCAAGTCCTTCAGCTCCATGAGGATAGTGTAAGGAATCACATCAGAATGTTCCCAGCTCTAACAGAAATGACAAAGTCCAACCTCGTCTAGTCAAGAAATAGTTATTAAATACCTTCAAACAAGGCAAGGTCCCTGCACCAACTGTCCTGAAGGCAGCACATTATTACAGGACAAACCGTACAGTGGGGGACGGAGACAGAGATCAGTGTTAAAAAAAGAAAAGTAAAAAATAACCACAGTTGGTACAAGACAGTGCGTGAGAGGTGCCCAAGAACACTGTATGTGAAGTCCTGGAGGGCGGGAAGGATTGGGAGAGGGCGCTGCGGAGGAGTGGGAGGCAAGGAATGGAAGGCGACAGTCTCAGAGACAATGATGGGCGCATACTTCACCTTACTCTCCTTCCTGGAGCCAAGGCAGCCAGGCAGGCCCCATGTTCTGGGTGCATCAGAGCAGCCTTTCCCATGGCTGGGGCAGGGAGCTGCTGCCGGATCCATGGGGCCTGAGGACTAATGTTACTCTCAGCTTTGCCAGAGTGAAGGGAAGCAAATGAGGCTTTGGGAAGGGGCCTCCCACAGAGCCCAAAGAGGAGAATCTGGACACTACACAGCAGCTCAAGAATGAGGTTCTCTGGAAAGCTGACTGAGATGGGGTCTGTGCTTTACCACCATATGGAATTCTCCCCAGCCCACCTGGGGTTAAGCAGGAACTATTAGGGGGAGAGGGGAGGGGAGGGGAGTGGCCTGAGCTTCCCAGGTAGGAGTGAAAGCATTAGGACCTCAGCCCAAGGGCCCCCTCTTACTAATCTGTGACTTCTCATTAGCAGGGAGCACCTAGAGAATGGAGGCAGTCCGTTCTGATCCCCAGATCTCAGCACAATGCCAACAGAAAGCAGACAAGCCACGTGTCACCCCTCAGGAGGGGAGGTGGGTGCCAGGCGAGAGCCCCTCCTTCCACGGGCCTTGTCTCTGACTTTGTCCAAGCTGGACAAGGAAGGCCTACAAAGTTCCTATCCCCATGAAAGAGAAAACACACACAGAAATGATTTTTTTTTTCAATAGGAAACTAGGCTTTATAAGGCGAATCAGATAAAGTGTCATGGTAAAGGATGGAAGTTGGGGGTGGGGTGGGGACTGGAGTGGACTCCTTGGAAAAGATGGCACCTGCTTTCCACACCATACTTAGTGGGTAGGCATCCCAGACCCTTCTTTTTCCCCCGAGGCGGCCCCTGAAAGTCATTTGGAAATTATGGGGCACCAAAGGTTTGAGGAGGTAGAGAAGAGGAAGGAGGCGCTCACAGAGCCCGACCACCCCCCTGTAGGGTCAATCCCGTGTTGATCTACTTTCAGATTCACCCAAGAAGACACCAAGTTCAAAATGGTTAAACCCAATTCCACTACTAAATGGCCATGGGACCTTCCGGAAGTTAAAATTGAGCTGTGTATCTCATCTATTAGATGGGTGACAAGTGCTTTCAAGATTCATGGATGAACAACACTCAAGAGTGACCTCACACATGAGGGACCACGAACTGAATGAACACTTACCTGCTTTCCCACACTTAATTTGCAAAAATACACATTATAAGCAGATACGTACCCTCCAAATATACACATAATAGCGGATATTTATCATTTCCATACTTTCTACAGAAGAAGGAACAAAGTCTCAGACAATAGATGACTTGCCCAAAGCCACCTGGCCACCACCTCATGGCCACACCACTTCCTGACATGGTTAAAAGTGGGAAAGATGGCAGTGTCAATTTTTACGTACTCTGTGCTGGCCTGGGTATAAAACCCACGGCATTCTCTGGAAAATGGATTCTGAGTCTGCAATCCAGAGCTCATACCAGAGCATCAGTGGGACAGGAGGCTGCAAGGCTGAACTGGAGGCAGGATTCCCTACTGTGTGTGTGTTGGGGGGCAGCCCCTCATGCCTCTTATTTACAGATTCCTAGCTTTAAACAGAGCCATAGTGAAAGACAGGACTGTGGGCGAAACAACATAGACTAGTCACAGCCAGTTAGCCTACATTTCCTTTTTAATGTCTCTATTTTTTCCATTACGCTGAATTGTCGTAAGACATTCATTAAAAAAAGGAACTCAAGTCCCAACCAATGTAGGTCTGTGTGAGGTTCACCTACATACACCTCTGTCTGTCAGAACTCAGTAGGCTTGGTGAAAAAGAAGAAAACAGGCGACAGTCCAGAGACCAGAGCCCGAGCCTTAGTGACAGTGCAGTAGATGTAGTCAGGACGCCCCGCCCCGCCCCGCCCCCTCCCCCGCAGGCGTGGCCTTTCTTCTGTAGACTTTCTTCTAGTCCTAGGCTGCGCCACGGGCTGGCCAGGAGGTGTCCACTGTAAGTGGTTGGGAACTACTGCAAAGACGCCTGCTGACTTGCTCCGAGTAAGTAGATCTCCATCAGTGCATTTTAAAAGCTCTCTGGGTGAGGTGTTTCCAACATTACCAGGGACAGACCCTGAAGAATTACCCATTGTTAATTCACACCTACTTAGGCATCATGCTCTTTATCTAACTACCCTACTCCCCCTTTTCATCTAAGCTTTGCGGGAACCCCTGTTAATTATGCCTCCAATATGTACTTCAAGTTCCTTGTAACCCATTCCCAAGATGACCACCCTGATCCAAGCCACCATCTGGAGTGCTAGCATGGAGCCCCGAACGGCCTCTCAGTTCGCGCTCTGAAGTGACCACAGAAATTTATGAGCATATATAAAATCATGTCATTTCCATGTGCAAAGCCCTCCAGCCACTTTACCATGGAGCAGTGGTTCGCAACCTGTGGGTAGAGACCCCTTGAGGGTGGGGGTCAAACGATCCTTTCACAGGGGTCGAATATCAGATATTCTGCATATCAGATATGTACATTACAATTCATAACAGCAGTAAAATTACAGTTATGAAGTAGTAACGAAAAATAATTTTATGGTTGGGGTCACCCCAGCATGAGGAACTGTATTAAAGGGTCACAGCATTAGGAAGGCTGAGAACCACTGCCTTAGGGTAACCTGTGAGTCCTAAGAATGACAGCCTTAATGGCCACGCTCCTAGCCATTCCTTTTAAGGCTGTTTGGAGTCTTTCTCTTACTCATCCAGCCTCATCTCAGGCCATTCTGCCCACAGTCCTGCCCCCAAAGACAAACTGTCCTTTAGGTACACTCTGAGCCAAGAATGGCTTTCCCGCCTGGAGAACTTTGCACCAGCAACTCCCGTTGGCACCCCGGCCTTGCACCAGCAATTCCCATTGGCACCCCGGCCTTGCACCAGCAATTCCCGTTGGCACCCCGGCCTTGCACCAGCAATTCCCGTTGGCACCCCGGCCTTTGCCACCTTGGCTTTTCCTCACCAGTCAAGTGTTTTTAAATGGCATCCAACCTATATTAGGTTCACTTCCTTCAACAGTTCATAGTTGTATGAATTTTATGCTTATGCTTTTATCTGAAATGGTACCTGCAGACCAAATCTGTGTTAGTTGTGTGGCTTGCACGACTTTTCCAGTTTAGATACCTAAAAGATCAAGGGGTTGCCTGAGGATGGATGTTACTCTAATCACGATGGCTTTCGGGTCTCAGGAGAGTGACACTGGGTGCTGGGCTGACTTCTCTCTTCTTGCTGGCTCTTTGGTTGAGTCTGCCATGGAAGATTTAAACCTTCTGCTAGTCCTGAGGTATCATTTCCAGTGGCAAAGCAGACCGGTCATTAAGACCACTTACCACTGGTCCCACCCCATTTCAAGGCTGCTTGTTTTTTGTTTTTTTTTCTTTTTCCCTGGACATAGTCATTACCCCACCTCAGCAATCCCTCCCTCCCTTTCTCCTGGCACCTTTTCTTTATCTTCTATCCTGGGGTAAAACAGACTGAAATAGAACTTCAGCAGTGAACACTGTATGGACTAAATTCCTGGCGATTCCCCACCTGCCTCCCTTAAGATTCAAAGTGTCACCTCGTCAAGCCTGCCCAGGACTCAAATCAGGCCCGTCACAAAGTTAAAAACTGCAAACTTGAAGGGTGACAGTTCCTAAACAAGGGAGGAGGACAGGTCTCAACTGAGCCTGTCCGGGACCTAGGCTCTTCCCAGCGGGTGACGTCTTAAGCAGGAAGCCTGTCCCCTCCCCTCACATTCTTCCAGCTTTGTTCCTGGCCAAGGAAGTACTCCAGCAGCCTCCCTTCTAGAAGAAAGGGCCTGTGGGTTCAGGGAACTTGTCCGGGGTCCCAGACTGCTCACGTTGGACCCTCCCGGACCACAAGTCCAGACAACTGGCGGCGGGGACCGCGGGAGTTGGCCCTGTAGCCCGGGTGGCGGAGCGCACCATTAGCTCCTCACAGACGTCCCCTCCCGCTTGCCGCGTGGCCACCTCCAGTCCCAGCCAGTCTCAAGTCCCAGTTAGTCCCTCCTCTAGCCCCCATTCCCGAGTTCCCTCCAGTCCCAAACAGTATCCCCCCAAAGTCCCCGCCAGTACCCCCCGCCGGGAGTCCCTCCTCTCCAGCCCTGCCACTGCGGTGGGGTCGCCTAAGCGCCCCGGTGCCTGGCCCGCAGGAGGGGAAGTTGCAGGAGCCTGAAGATCACCTTGGCGGTCACCGAGGGACCTCGCTTTCGGACGCCCGAGGACCCCGAAGAAGACACCAGCGCGCCGAGCCCCAAGCAGAGCACCGTGGCCAGCAGCAGACGGGGACCCGGGATCATAGTGAGCGGTGGCAGTGGCCGCGATGGCACGGGCGCAACCTTGAGGCTCCGGGACTGTGGTCGGACTCTTGGCCGCCTGCGCCTGCGCGGTCCCGGTGGGGAGGGTGGTGGATCCCGGCTGGGCGGGAACCCTGGGCGCGCTCCTCCCAAGTTCAAACCGGTGGCCGGAATTGGGGTCTCCGAGGGCGCGGCTTGGTAGGGGACGCCCGGGGCACAGTGAGCCAGGCGGAGCCGCGGCGCGCTTGGATCCTGGCAGAGAGCCAGATGCAAACGCGGCTCCTTTGAGACTTGGAAGTTCTGAGCACCGCTTTGTCCTGTCCTTCGGGGATTTCTGGGAGGGCTGCATCTTGTTTCTCGAGATGGCCTTTCGCAGAGTCATTCCGCCTTTGAAGATCTTTGGGAATCCTGATTCAGTCCTCTAGAAAAACTTAAGGAGATGGAGGCATTTTGTGCGGACGCTGACTCTGTCGCCTTACCCACAATTTTCTGGGCAGCCCTTACATAGGCCCAAAACCAGTCCCAGATAGAGTTCTTCCCTTCGAAAACAAAGTACTCAAGCTGGGCTTTGAGGTGTAGCTGTAGGATTTTTCGAGACAGGGTTTCTCTGTGTATTTTGATGCCTGTCCTGGATCTCGCGCTGTAGACCAGGCTGGCCTCGAACTCACAGATATCCTGGCTCTGCCTCCCCAGTGCTGGGATTAAAGGCGGTGTTACCACTGCCCGGCAGGGTGATTTTTTTTTTTTTTTAAACAATCTTACGAGTTACATATAGGAAACTTAATAACTTGAAGAAAGACTCAATTCATTTCTTTTTAAATGAAAAAACTCAAGTTGCAAAACCATATTGAAAGTCTGACTTAACTGAAAATAAAGATTAAAAACAGCACTTTAAAAATTGCAGTGAGAAGGCTGGGTGTGTGGTTCAGACAGCAGAGTGCTTGCCTTGCAGGTAGGAAGCGGCGGGGTGGATCCCTAGTACAATATAAACTGGGTGGGGCAGCACACACCTGTAATCTCAACACTTGGGAGGTAGAGGCTAGAGGATCAGAAGCTCAAATGTATTCTCATCATCCTTGGAGACATAGCACATACCAGGCCAGCCTGGGCTACGTGCGACTAGAGGGGAAGGAGGCATTTACAATAGCTGTAGTGATGGAAATATACATCTTTGTCTTCTCTGTAGTTTTCTTAATTCTCAGGGGTTCCACCATGAGGATATAAGTATTTTATAGCCTGGAAAGGGCCATTTTAAAACGATACATTTTGGCGGGGCGTAGTTGTGCACGCCTTTAGTCGGAAGGCAGAGGCAGATGGATCTCTGTGAGTTCAACCAGCCTGGTCTACAAAGTGAGTTCCAGGACAGCCAGGACTGTTATATAGAGAAACCCTGTCTCAAAACAAACAAACAAACAAACACCCAAAATAAATACAAACAAACAAATAAAAATCAAACTACATTTGAAGTATGAATTCAGAAGAGCGTTTTAGTCTAATATAATGTCACTAAAATTAAATTTTAAAAAAATTGCTAGTATTCCCCCTCCCCCCAGTTTAGGGCTAATGCCATAATTACAAACCAAGACTGTCTTTGGGTAAGTAAGCACCTGGGAATCTGAGAGTCTATCTAAAGACACAGAAGCATTTCTTACAGACAGGAGATATAGCTGCTACATTAGAACACTTTGGAGTGGTTTTCCTAATTGAGTCCATTGAAGACCTGGGTACTTTCTTCCTCACCCCTCCCCAAGAAGGAATCCCCATTGAGGAGCAGGGCTGTCTGTCTGAGACCAGGGCTGCTGGGTAGTGACTGTATACATTTATTCTGTGCTTCTTAGCACTGTCTCTCTTATCTGAAGCAAACACCATGGGAACTGGGATCGTGGCTGATTTTATTCCCCCTGATGTCTCAGGTCTAGCACAATGTCTGGAATAGAATGATGAATACTGACCAATGTTTGTGAAATGAATGGTGTCCATTTCTCTACCAGTACCCTGCCACCCCCAGGCAAAGAAATGCTCTCTAGAAAGGCCATGGCTCTCTCATGTAGAAACTCCTTATGTACCTCCTTTCTATTACACCTTTTTTTCTTCTCAAAACTCCTTGCAGTCTTGACTTTTTACACACAGTTTCCTTCCAACTTTGTACCAATCGGTCTTAGAGTATACTTTTTTTTTTTTTTTTTTTTTGCTTCAGCTTTTCTTGTGAAATTCATCGGTGTTTGGTACATCGTTTTGGTGCAAAGTGCCTCGTAGTGACAACGCATTCTTTTAAAAATATTTATTTTTTTATTCTTAAAATTATGTGTGTGTGTGTGTGTGTGTGTGTATCTCTGTGGGTATGCGCAACATGGGGTGTGGCATTTGTGTGCCTCCCCCCATAAATAAAAAAATTAAATACAATTTATAGCAAAAATGATGCATTGAGATTCCAAATACTTACGATTGTGACCTTATTTGGAAATAATGTTGCCAGTGTCATCAATATTAAGGTAAGGTCACAGTAGCGTAGGCTGTACCTACTGTCATGTGACTGGTGTCCTTATGAAAAGAGGAGAAACATCCTCAAAGAAGAATACTGTGAGGATGGAAGTGAAGACTGGAGCTATGAACAGAAACAGCGGAGACGGCTGGTACCCACAGAATCTAAGAGGCAAGGAAGAACCCGGAGTCCTCAAAGGGAGCATTTTGATTCTAGACTCTAACCTTCATAACTGTGAGGCCGTATAGTGCTGTTGTTTAAGTGACCTGGCGTGGGGTACCACATCACACAGGCCTAGGAAGCTCACACATCTTGTCTTGGTTCCAATCCCAGAAGGAAAACTTTTATGTTTCTCCATTAATTATATTTGCTAAAGATTCTTTCAGAGTACATCTTTTTTTTTTTTTTCAGATTAATAAAATTACTTTCTAACCCTAATTACTTTTTGTTTTTGTTGTTGTTGTTTTGGTCCTGAGCTTGATTTGAATTCTATCAGCATCATATATTAAAATTAACTGGAGCACTAAAGTGATTTTTCCTTATTCTGATAATGTGATGAGTTATGCTGATTTTCATATTGTTACCAAATCTAGATTTCTGGGCAAATACATCCAACGTGTATAATATTAGCTTTTTTTTTTTTTCTTCCACATATTAGTAGATGTGGTTTACTGGATTTTTTAAATTAACAAACTTACTAAGAACTTGAAAAAAAGAAATGTCTTTTACCTTGAAGTTCAGGCTAAACACAATGAAGTATAGTTCTGGCTTTCCAATTTAAACTACATTGATGCTAATATGCAAATCTACTAATCTTATTTTTAGGAATTTGCATCTGAATTTATGAATGAGGCATGGCTGAAATTTTCTCTTCCTGGGGTTTCCTGTGAGTTTTTGTGTCCTGGTTCCTCTGGCCCCTTGCCGTGACAGTGACCATGAGCAGCGCTGAACTTCAAAGGTCTGGAGAGGATTCCCATTTCTCCTTCAAATGCTCTGAGCAGCCCCTGGGCTCCTGGGTTAACTTATCATAAAGTTCCAAATATGTATTTGCAAGAAGTCAGTTGAAGAATCATCTGTAGCTAGAGTTTTCCTACCTTGCCCACAGTCAGGACAAATCTTTGTCACCCGCCAGTCCCGCAGCTGCTCAGACCCAACCAAGTAAACACAGAGACTTATTTTGCTTACAAACTGTATGGCCATGGCAGGCTTCTTGCTAACTGTTCTTATAGCTTAAATTAATCCATTTCCATAAATCTATACCTTGCCACGTAGCTGGTGGCTTACCAGTGTCTTCACATGCTGCTGGTCATGGCGGCAGCTGGCAGTGTCTCTCTGCCTCAGCCTTCTGCTTCTCAGAATTCTCCACCCTCCTTGTCCCACCTACTTCCTGCCTGGCCACTGGCTGTTCAGTATTTTATTTATTGACCAATCAGAGCAATTTGACATACAGACCATCCCACAGCAATCATCTAAATTTTCTACTCTGTCAGTTTCTACATAGAGTATTTTTTAAAGGAATAGTCAATTTATATTTAAATTATTAATGTAAAATTGTATAAAATATCATTTTATGATTTTATAGGTGGGTAGGACCTATAATAATGTTTCCTTTTTTTTCTTTTTAACTTTATTTGTTATTCTCCTGCCCCCCTTGAATATTTTGCCCAGGAAGCTGCTGAAAAATATAATATATTTGATATATCATATTTAATTTATGGTCTCTATTTTTATTATATTTCCTCTTACTTTCTAGGACTTTCATTTACTATTTTCTATCTTCTTGTGTGTGTGTGAGTATGTGTGTGTGTGAGTGTGCACCAAAACAGCCTGAGGTATGTGAAAGACCCTGTCTCAAGAAAACAAAACAAAATAAAAAAAATATTTTATCCCTGAAAGTTTGGCCTAGGCAGCTCATGAAGTGTGTGTGTGTGTGGGGGGGGGGTGTATCTGGGGATATTACTGTTTCCAGAGGAAAACCATGGGTTATATACAGAAAATGTGTTTGTTAAACTTAACTTTTGGCAAGTAAATGCCAAAGATCACTAATACCTACTCGGTATGTGATAAGCTTTTTAAACTGAGAACGTTTTCAAGTGTTAGGCTGAGGGAAGTGTATAGTCACCTAAGATCACCAAGAGGCTCTGGGAACTACTGGCCAGGACCTAGGATTGCTGTGACATTGTTTGGCCCCTCCTTTGTTTTTATATTTTCCATGCATAGCACTTTTTTTTTCCGGAGCTAGTAGTATCTCACCCCACTCCCTACACACACACACACACACACACACACACACACACACACACCTTCATGAGCTGCCTAGGTCAAACTTTCAACGATAAAGTATTTTTTGTTTTGTTTTGCTTTCTTGAGACAGGGTCTTTCACAGGTCTTTTCACCGTTTCTCAGGTTTTGCTATGCTGCTGAAGATGACCTTGAACTTTTCCTCCTCCTGGTTCTACCTGCCCCGTGCTGGGATGATAGGTGTGCATCCCCACCCAAGTTTATGCAGTGCTGGCCATCAAACCCAGGGCTTTATATATGCCAGGAATGCATGACAAAATCTTTAAGAGATTAAAAACAATTTTGCTTTAACTTGCCTGCCGGGACAAAAC